CAGAAAAACTGCAATACCTTTTAATACACAAAAGGTTACTTTTGAACCTGTCTTACGTTTTTTTATTTTCAAGAGGTACTAATTATTTGATAAGCTATCCCCATCTGAACATATTTATTTCAAATAATCAAAAGATTAAAAAACTGATTTATTTGAAAAATATGCTGGTTAGGGTTAGAAGATTTTCAGTCATCCAGGTCCTAGTCATTCCAAAAAAAATAAAAAAATAAAATACAATCCACTGGACTTTGTTTCCAAGTTTGAAGACGTTTTGCTTCCCATCCAGGAAGCTTTTTCAATTCAAAACATCAGATTTTTTTTTGTTTTTTTTGACATAGAAGTATAGCCTAAGACTAAGACTTTAAATGAAAAAAATAAATAAATAAAAAAATAAATTGTTGTTTTTAAAACTCTGAACATTCTGGTCCTACCTTGTTTATCTGTCATTCCTTTTTTAATAGCCTTTTTGTACATGGTAGATTCCTGAGGACGTCAAATCAACTTTAATTCAATGGACCTCGACGTTCGAACCAACTTTCTTTTGATCTTTGCTGTTACACTGATTCAGAAATCAAAGTTAGGTGTAACAGTTTTACCAAGAATCATGGATACATATTATTCATGATTTTTATTTCTCCATAATTAGTTGGAAAATGTCTTAATTAAATTGTGTGGGAAATCTATGTGTGCAAAATCAAAACAAAACATCCATAGAATTTTAGATCTACTTATTGTGTCATTTTCTCTTTTAAGTAACAAAGACTTTGTTTTAGATATAGGGTAACTGCATAAAACAAATAGGCTACTCATCAAAATAAATGCAGTTATAAGTAAATATGGAAGAAAAATATATGGAGTCAATTTTGTTCTATTATTATTTCAAGCAAAGAAAACATTTAGTAAATAATAAAAAAAAAAAAAAAGCAATCTAGATGTGAAACTTCTTAAAAAACAACAACTTCTTAACCAGAAATAATAACAAGAATTTGAAAACAGCTTTGCTCTCTCTTTGATATCTCCTTTACAAATGTTTTTTATTTATTGTTTTTTTCTTCAGATTTAATCTTTTTAAATACAATAAATTTTTTTTTTTTTTTTTTTCAGATTAATGTTTATGAATTGCTTTCATTTCAAATCTGGTTTTACAGATCACATCTGTCGTACTTCTGGGGGGGGCAGGCTTTCCTCTGGAGAAAGGAGAGAAGATGAACATCTATAAATCTGCATGGATCTATGGCTGCAGCATTTTAACTGATCAAGTATGTGTTTGTATTTGGCTTTAAGTAAAGAAACACAATCTTAGAAATGCATTTTGAAAATAACGCAATTTATTAAATAAAATCTGAAAAAGAAAAGTCGAAAAAAATATCTAATTTGAAAATAGAAAAGTAAAGAAATATAAAACGTAAGAAAAACATTTGATAAAATACAAGAAAACAGTCTTTTTTTGACAGGGTAATATTTCTTTCAAAGTTTAATTTCTGGATTGCATTTTTTTCTCTCTCAATTTTAGTTATAAAGCACGTTCTTTAGTTGCAATAATGATGGAACAATTTTACCTTCCCACAAACTCAGGAAAGGAACTTAAATTTCCATACAGGGCGGATTTTCAATCATCACTTGTAGAAGAGCTAATGGTGAGAATTGCTGTCCTTGGCTATCTATTGCTTTGGGCACCAGGNCTTTTAGATTTGTAGTTGCAGTTTGCACTTCAGGGCCACCGTATAAAAGGGATAAATTTAAAGAAAATAATGAAAAGGTTGATGTTCTTTTCTCTAAATACTTTGTAGCATAATCTGTCCCTGTCGGATGGAAAATTTTGGGAAACCCTGAGCTTAATCACCCAAACCATGATTAAATCTTTGATTTGACAGCATTTTCTTAATTTAAAACATGCATCCAAAAAAACAAAAAAAATTAAATATAGTTCTTTAAAGGCTCAGATTGCACAATTATATTGAACACAACTGTCTGGCATTCGGATGTAAAGTACATAGCCTTGCTGGCAATTCTGCAGTCATCACATCACTCTCTCAGTCTTCCTACTCTCTGAGAACTCAAAGCCCTAAATCACAGCACTAATCCTTGTGAACAGTATTTTTAACTTGCTCTGGGACAGAGAGAACACCAATAGGATTAGAGAATCAGAGAAGGCTCCGAATCCTCAACATATGCTGCTGATCTTTGTGCTCTCTGACTAGAAAGGTTGGCATCACATTCTTCATCTCTATTTCACACACAGGCAGGATGATTTTGAGGCATAATATTTTGCTGATTTTCCTTTTTTGTTGTTGACTTGATCCCAACTTTGGTACAAAACTTTCAGCCTGTTGTGCTTCTGAGGAGTGGACACTATGGCGTCCATAAAGCCGAAGCTGAAGGCGCTGAAAAAGCGGCGCTCCAGTCTTTTTGCGAGTGTAAAACGGGACCTGAGCTTTTCGCAGAGCACAGAGGAAGAAGAGTACATATTCCCTTTTTCACAGGACAGCTCCGTAAAACCCTGGACTTCAATGGACAACCTCGACAGCCCGGATGTGAAGCATGTAAAGAGGGAAGATTTGCCAAATCCAAGGAGATCCAACATAGTCAATTTAAACATAGGAGGAAAGGTATTCCACATCCCAAAGCATCTGGCTCTGCGATATCCAAAGACTAGGATTGGTACCCTCGCCATGTGCGATGACTCGGTGAAGAGGCTGACTCTCTGTGACGATTACAATGTCGTGAGCAATGAGTTCTTCTTTGACAGGGACCCTATGTTTTTCCATTACATATTCCACTTCTACTGCAGCAATGTCCTCTGGGTGATGGACAGCCTTTGTCCTATCAACTTTGAGGAAGAGATGTCCTTTTGGGGCCTGAAGCTGAAACACACTCCCAGGTATGGTTTTGTTTTTCACATGCTTTGAACGCAGAACTTTTACCTCTAGAACAGGGGTGTCAAACTGGTTCCAGAAAGGGCCGTGTGGCTGCAGGTCTTCTTTCCAACCAAGCAATATCACACCAGACTCCAGTCATCTCATCAAGTCATCTTGTTCAGATTGGACTCACTTGATGAGGTGACTGGAGTCTGGTGTGATATTGCTTGGTTGGAAAGAAAACCTGCAGCCACACGGCCCTTTCTGGAACCGGTTTGACACCTGTGCTCTAGATGATGTTTGTCTATTTGGAGCAGAGTTAAGAAATGTCTTTCTCAGGTGCTGTCGGATATTGTTCGAGGAGAAGGTGGATGACATTAGAGACCAGCTGAAGGTCAACAAGGAGCTCATTGATGAGATTAAGCCTCACCAGGATGATGAAAGCTACAAGACCATGTTCCTCGGAGGTTTGCGGAAGGTCCTTTGGGACTTGATGGAGAATCCGTACTCATCCCTACCAGCCAAAGCGTTTGCTGTGTTCTCCAGTCTCTTTGTACTCATCTCCATCGTTGCCATGACCATGAATACAGTCCGTGAACTTAGGGAATACAAAGCTGGAGGCAAAACATTAATGGAATGGGTGGAAATCTCCTCTATCCTTTTCTTTACCCTAGAATACTTTTTGCGACTAGTTACCACATCCAATATCAAACACTTCTTGAGGAGCGCCCTCAATTTTGTTGATGTGGTGGCCGTCATGCCCTACTTTCTCCAGATCATCTTTGAGACATTTGTCATTGATACAGAAGATGTTAGTGCAAAAGAAGACCTAAAAGCCATGTCAAGAGTCAGTAAGGTCAGCAAGGTGCTCAAAGTCGTCAAGCTGATGCGGATCTTCCGCATCCTGAAACTGGCACGCCACTCTACCGGCATGAGGGCCTTTGGTTTCACCATCCGCCAATGTTCTGAACAGGTATGGGCTCCTGGCTAAGAAGACACAAAATTCACAGTTGATATTTTTTCATTTTTCTTCATAAAATATGTGAATGAAAGGAAAAATACGATAAACAGTGCACAATATATTAGGCTCAAGGAGATATCGAGCTGGTTATACTAGCAGGCGCTACTAAATCTAACATGTCCTGCTATGAACCGAGGAAAGGGTTAGGCTATGAAGAACTTCTGAACTTGCAGATATTTCACATTGAAAATTGTTTGGGTACAAGAGGAAAAAGGCTTCACCAGATCAGGGGAAGCTTTCTGTCATTTTATTCAGAAAGCTTTTGGTGGGAAATATCTGTTGTCACCAAATGTACATGTATCTTTATCGAGGGTTTGCAGGTGTGCATGGCTGTTGGTAATTATGTTGCCATGGACAGACCTAGCCAATCATTGGCCACCCCATCCAGCGGATTCGTTTTTCCCATTGGGCCATAATTTACGAGCCCCTAGAAAAAGCAT